CTCAGCAGAGAAGAGACACATCTGCACTGTCCCTTGCAGCCCAGATTTCACCAAGGGGTGGACCACGGGCTAGGCTTAATTGTGGGATGGACCTCAATCCCACAATTATCCTTGTCTGTCCACTTTTAACTCTTCCTAATTTCTTCTACTCCACTGAAAGCTGATGACAAGAGTCCCCAAAGCAGACCAGGGTTCTGCTAGGAGGGAGCAAGGGGTACATCTGTCCCTACTCATCCCACTGGAGGCTTTTTTGGAGCTGATGACACCTGAGAACAGATATTGGCAGGGGATCCAAGGGACACAGTGGGATTTGACCCAGTCAGGCTATTTCTGTGGACCACTGTTCTGTGTTCCCTGTAGATCTTTCAGTGATATCCCAAAAAAACCTTGACTGATACAAGCCCCGCACGATCCTGGCAGAGGAAGAAGGCAAGTTCTTTGAGTGAAATTTATACCAGCATACTAAGGTTTAAGAGGTTAAGGAGGGCACTGTGTTCCAGGTAGAGGAACTACATATTGCAAGGGTTAGAAAAAAATGAAAAGCAATTGAGAGCTAGCACTTTCTGGATTCAAAACCACATAGCATTTTTTCAGTTTCTTGCTCTAGTTGCTATGTTGTGAAGAGTAAATGGAGATTAAGGGCTAGACAGGTACCTCAGCAAAGAAGATGGTGGATGAGGCAAGCTTATTCCTAAGGTGCTTAGAAAGCAGAGCCAAGAGTTGACACAAAGTCTGTAATAGAAAAGGCAGCCCCAGATTGTGTTGACAGTTTGCATTATAACTAGACTGACAGGAAAGTCATAGGGTGAAAAACTGAATAAAGTATGATAATTATGAATGCTGCTTACAGGGTGAATTCACTACTGAATAGCACTCATGTTAATAAGACTATGAAGCTAAAAATTTCCCAAGTTCTTAAACTGAGATAAGTCCATATCTCAAAACAAAATGAACAATTCTCCATAACTTTGCAGGTACTATTTGAAGTCATGTACAACTACATCAAGTATCACAATGTTTATTGATAGATACAAGTATATAAAATCAGGGCATGAACATGACTTGATAAATTAAGTAGACTTAATTTCAATACTATAATAAGAGGGACCAATTCAAATTCTCACCATTTGTTTCACACCCACAAAAACCACTTCAAGGGCATTAAAGATCTCTCAAAACTGATCAGTTTTGTGCAAGTAAACCATGTTTCTTTTAAAAAGACTTGTGCACTTGCCCAGGCTCAAGGATATTAAAATCTAGCACATAAAGCCCATTACTAGAGGTAGAAATACAGGCAATATACTATTACGGCAACAACCATCAATTACAGTTAAGAATTTTTCTGTAACAACCAAATGGATAATCAAATATTGCAACAACTCAAGTATTACTGAGCAAAGTGCATCTCTACAGTATTCAGTGTTGCTATTCAGTTTTCTAACTTAAAACAGCCTATGGTAACTGGCAGCAAAGAAGGTCCTTGCAATAGACTGCCTCTGCTTGAGAACTTAGGATGTAATTATTGCATGCTGCTAATATTCTATCTAAACATTAAGGATACTCCTAAAGTATTTGATGGTAGACTATGATTAAGACATCACACTACAAAAACCTTATGCAGAAGGAAACCTTACTGACGTGCTTCTGCTTTAAATATGTGAAAAACGTTACAGCGGAATGAATTTTCGCAGTGGTTAGGTCAAATGCAGTTACATCATAGCAACAGTATGTTTTGCACAATTTAAGGCTTTGGCTGGTTCTTTAGTCAGCTTCTTCCTCTGATTCTTCTTCTTCAGCAGTTTCTAGCCATGTTAGCCACTGATTTACCTGTAAATTAAATTTATATTTAATAAAACAGCAATATTGCATGTAAAAATTAAGTTTTGAGGGTTGGAGAGATGGCTCAGTGGTTAAGAGCACTGACTGCTCTTCAAGAAGACCCAGGTTCAATACCTAGCATCCACATGGCAGCTCCCAAATGTCTATAGCTCCAATTCTAGGGAGCTTCACAGATAAACATGCAGGTAAAGCACCAATGTACATAAAATTCACCCAAAGAGATTAAATAGATTCTGGGAACTGAACTTCACAAAGCTTTACCTACTGAGCCTTTCTCCATTTAAAACATTTGTGTATATATGGGTGATTAACTGGTATATGACTGTGTTCATGTATGCACAAGGTTCATAACAGACAGAAAGGGGCTTTGAACTTTGGGAATTGAAGACAAGACAGTTACTATTAAGTTGATCTCTCCAAAATGCCCTTGACTCTCTAACCCCAAAGTGCTAGGCTTTACTTAACTAGTCTTACACTTTAGGTTGTCCAAGATAATAATAACTCTTCCAAACCAAATTTTACCAGCATATAGCAGCATCTGGAATTACTGTGTCAGATTCTCAAAAACAGGAATAGGGATAAATTCTTAAGAATGATCCTCACAAAGTTGTCTATAAATCTTAGAAGCTGTAAACCAGGGTTTCTTCAGAGCTGAGGCTCTAGAAAAATTGTAACTATCTGAATTGTGACCTTTAGCACCAGGCTGTGACCCTACTTTTCAAAAACTCTTACACTATGTACACTATGAATTCAGAATACTTCTAATTACCCTTGATATAGAATGAAACCATACTTAAAAAATAATAATGGATGTAAAGGTATTAAATTAGAGGTAGGTAAAATTTTTGGTGGCAAAGCTGCTTTTTAAAGAATTTAAAGAAGTTTTCAAACTTAGGTTTTATTCCCAGGGCTCTAATTCTACTTGATAACAACAAAAAAATCAAATTATAAAATACGCCATTTTTCCACCTTAAGTTTTAACTTTTTGATGCATTCAAGTTAAAGAAGGCCATTTAAAACAGCAAGCCAAATCAATGGCAAAAAAATCTTAAAAAAGCACTTACCTGGAACAAAGCCTTGCCTTTTCCTGGAAACTCTTGTGTAATATCTTCCTTCCAAGCCAAGAAAGCTTCCTCCTCAATAATTTCCATGTCGTAGAAATGAACAAAAAATCGAAGTAACATGCCTTAAAATGAAACAAAAGACATGGCGTGTAATTCCCTTCCTTATTCAGTATGCTGTGTCAGGCCCTCACTTCCCACTCAGGACACCAGTCACCTCACCTTTTGGGAAGCTGCTGTTGTAACAGTGCACCTGCAGAGCATACAGGGCACTGACCTGTAGATCCACATGGTCATGAAGGAATTTCTGCATCACTGGCTTAAAAGAGAGCAGCAGCTGTTTTTCCTGCTCTAACTGTTCTTTGGAAGGAGCAGAGGAAGAATCTGTTTCATCGCTAGGTGGGCTTACTTCACTAGAAATGTACTGTAAGAAGCTGAACAGCAGAGATCATGTTAGAAATCCCACACTAATTTCTTGGGCTTCTGCCCTCTACTGGCAAATGAAACTAATCTTACCTGGTCATTAAGATGTTCACAAATCCTTTATCTACATGAAGTTTGGGAGAGATGTTATCTTTAATCCATTTATATATAGTTTGAGGGGATGGATCCAGCTTAATTTGCTTCAATAGTTCCTTTTCCAATTTAAGGAGTGGGAATAAGAAACTCAGTCCCTTTCCTTCCAAAATCTCCAACATTCGATCCTTATTCTGATCAATTTCTGCAAAAACATTTCTCATTTTAGCAGACTGGTCTACATCTAGACTATACAAAAATCCACACTCACTGTTAAGCCAGTAGCTCTTACCTGGCAGCATTTTCTGCATATTGACCTTGCTTTGTTGAAAGAGTTCGGTTAACCATTCGCGATCTTGTAATTTAGCTAATTGTTGAAGACAAAGTAAGAAGAGAGGGAAGTGGGTGCCACTCTCCAGTGGTTGAGCTAGTTCTGAAATGCTCACCAACTCTGAAATTATAGCACGAGCTGCAAACTGTGCCAAATAAGATTTCACCAAGGGGATGTCAACCTCCAGTTTGGGGCACTGCTCCAATACGTTCAGGAAAGCCTTGGGAAGAATATACAAATCAGTTTATCATAGTTCTCAACCATGATCGGAGGAGTTACCACACAATCAGTAGAATGTTCTACCTGCATGAAGTTGTCGCTTGTGGCTATCCCTTCCTGTTTGAGTAAACTGATCAAAGAGCTTGCTTTTTCTTTATCTTCATCACTTCTATCTAGTGACAGGATGATCACTTTGCTTAACATCTCAGGAAGAAAGTGTTTTGGGGCTCTCATCTCTCTTACGCCACTGACGGCCTCGTTTGCATTTCCACTGTTCAGATATTCAGTCACAACAGCTTCCTGAGAACACAATCCAATTCACATCAGTGTTCCCTATCCTCAAATGTTTCCTAGGCAATAGAGATGATTTAGGGGCTATTTGAAACTTACAGTCAGTTTAAGTAGTTCTTCCTTGGATGGTGGTGGCTTTTTGCTAGTCTTGGCAGGCTTTTCCTGGATAAGTGGTGGATTAGTTTTGAGACCAAGTTGAGGTGTCTAAAAACAAGCAGCACATCACATTTGATCAAAATAAAATAAAAAAGAACAGTATCACCATAAACAGAGGGACACAGGAGTCCTCACACATTTTTGGGGGCAGGTCCATACCTGTCCCAGAGGTGGTGTCTGAGTGCGTGGTGGCTGTGCACTGGGAGGAATCATAGTTATCTGGGGCTGAAGCTTTGGCACCTGGTTTTTATTCATTAGGAATGACTGAGCAGGTCTCAAACTAATCTAAAATCGAAAACAAATTAACATATAACCAAATCAACAAAGCTAGAAACATTAAATTTTAATACCCTATAGTTAATTCTACATGAATCTAACAATTATGACACAGTATAATTCTACTTCATATCATGTAATAAAATTTAACATCTGGGTAAGATACTAGGGGAAGAGAGTAAGGTATTGTTTACAAATCTTAGTTTGTACCATAATTGGACCAATATCAGCAATACACTCTTTACTTACAGAGAAAACTACCAACATCTTAAATCATTTCTCATGCTAACTAGTAAAAATTACTTAGAAGCTTGCCCTCATATCTCATAATCTTCGCTCATAGGACGCTGGATATCCAAAGAGAGAAAAGAAGCAGAGAAAGGGGGGGGGGGAAGTAGAGAAGAATTAAAGAATATATAGAAGAGAAAAAAAGGAAAAGATCCAGCTTCAAGTCCTCTTTCGCGTCTTTTTATAATCATCGGGCAAGAGACTTCTGCACTGACAAATTACTGCATAGAAGTAATGTAGGCAAATGTACCTCATCTGCATTAAGCTGTCCTTTCTTAGAAAACCGAGGTGGCATATCCTTCGACTGTCCTTGCAGTTGGGATAAGAGTCCCTGACTCTGGTTATGGTAGAGCTGGCTTAGCCCCTATTTCAGAAAGGGAGAGAGAAAGTCTAGATAAAAATTATGGTAAACAAGTACCAAGGGAATGAATGAGCCAAGCCAACTGCTTTGCCCAGAGATTAACTGTATTTGCCCAGAAAAGATGAAACTAGGAAGATCTAACCTATCTATTGAATGAAATGATCTGACTTTACTCATTTTGAAACTGTCAGATGGAAAATCTGGCTAAGAAAAAACAAAAGCATTAATAGTAAAACTCAGCTTCACTTAAAATATAAAGGGTAAAATGTATTGGACCTAAGGCTAGCCCTAACACTTTTTTTTATAAACACTGTCAAGGTCTTACCTGGCTTTTCATAAATTTGCCCCCCATCTCTCCAAACTGCGATTGCGTGGGAGGCATGATGTGTCCCCCATGGCCATTGAAGAGCTGATTTGAACGATGACGTCCCATCGTGGGTGAAAATCTATCCTGGATAACTCCTGGACCAGTACCAATTCCACTACCTTAAAACACAGACAATTCTAAGAACTCCACTAAAGCATTAAGCTTTTAGTTTAACTCAAACATTGCTTTTATTTAAAATTACCTGGCATTTGTCCAAACATATCTGCAAGTCCCCCAAGTGGGTCCCTATCCATTTTCATCCTTGGCGGCATGAACGGTCCCTCCAGGAAGAAGTCATTTCTCCCTTGAGCCATAGGAGCAGGAATAAACACTCCTAGATCCTTTGAGAAGAAAGTGGGTTAAGTATTGTTGTCTATAGATCTTGTACTACTTATTTACAGTTCTATAACTTCTCTCCAAAATGGCATGAAGGATACTATGAAACCTCAATACCAGTAAGATAATTACTAAAAAAAAAAAAAAAAAAAACTCTTACTTTTACTGCATCTTGACGGATTTGATTGATCGTCTTTGGTCCATTGTCAAGAAAAGCCTTGCGAGGAACCCAATGGTGTTCTCGCAACTCTACGGTATCCTGTAATTTAAAAAAGTATATACATTTAATTTTACTAATCCAAAGGAAAAACTCAAGCTTATTGGACATTGTTAAAAATCTTACCTGCAGTAGGAAACGAATCCTTGCTGGCAATTCCTTACTTAACATTAAGGAACACATTCTGGCAAAGTACTGATCCATTAAGGACTGATAAAAAGAAAACAAAATACAATTAGAACTAAAAAAATACTATTTAAGGCAATCATGCCATAAAGGTAGATAACTAGAACAAATCCCAACTCACAGGACACACTACCCTTGTTCTTAGTAAAAACATACCTTGGCTCGTTCATGGTCTAATCGAGGTCCCACTGTCCTCATTATCTGACAGAGGCACTCCAAATCCTCTCCCATATCTTTGAGTTGGACTCTCTTCTTCTTTTCCAAAAGCTACCAAAGGAATATGTTTAAAATCTTAGTTATTCTGGTTAATGTAGTAGTTCCTCCCTAGGTTTGGGCTGACTCATAATTCCCAGAGCTAAGACAATGCTTTCCTAGCAGTTTTTGCTGTCCTCTGTGAATTTTAACACAGGCACATCTCAAAATTCCAAGTTTCTTTGGTCACCAAACTATGTTAGTAGCCACCAATCTTCTCAGATGATATGTAACAAAAGAGACTAATTAATTTTCTCCAAATAAGGATGTGATCATCCTAAGTTACTATTCTAGTCATACTCACTGTTTTGATGCACTTATGAAGGATAGATTCATGAATAAGATCAAGCTTGCCAAGCTCTCCAATGAATTTGATGTTCCCCAACATCTTGATCTTAGCAATGGCTCTTTGTTCCTCCTCCTCAGGGAGGAGGGGATTTTCACGCTTATCATAGACTGAGGGAGGGGAGGCAAACAAACAGAATAAAGAATACTTAGAACCATTCTTGCAAGTGTTCTGACCTCTAGACTTAGGCCACAGAATACATAAATGTAATAAATAAAAACACCCAGTACTAGTTAACAGAAAATTTAAATTCTTACCATCAACATTTCTGGTTCGGTTTTCAAATTCATCTTGCAATTTGGAAATCAAGAGGCGTCTGAATGTCTATTTGCAAGGAAAAGATATTATAGACCTTGTTTATAAAAAAATTTCCCAAAATAATTTTAAAACAAAGCAAACAAAAATCGCCACTCACTGTGCTTTGCTTCTGTCCTGGTTGACCCTCTGCTGCTGGGCCATCAAAGTTTGGTGCATCTTCTGCCAATCGCAGACATAGCTGAGCATACAGTGAGCTATACTTTGGCTCTTCTAGGGCTTTGTCCACAATCTACAGAAGTCATTAAACAAACCATGAATCAGAGGCTGAAAGAACCCCCTTTTAAATAGCCGTAATATTACAATTCATTCACTTGGACAATACCTCAGAAAAATAAAACCATTTTAAGTTTTTAATCATCATCTATAGTACAATGGAGTCTTTTGTTGTGTACCTCTCCCCAGCTAGAAAACATCATGAACAGAACTATAAATCACAAGACACTGTTGAGTTGGGGACCCAACTGTGGCTGGTAATCATGCAAAAACAAGATGCCAGAATTGTGTATGAATTAGCATATGAACTCCCCAAAACCACTTTCACAAAAAAAAAACAAAAACCAAAAAAAACAAAAAAAACAAAACAAAACAAAACAAAAAAACAAAAAAAAAAAAAAAAAAAAAAAAAAAAAAAAAAAAAAACCTGTTTCCAGACAGCTTGGTAAACCAAGGCAAATGAGGATTCAAGGTTCACCCCTCCAATCTTGATGTCAAAGTGGTTTTGTTTTCGTTATTATTCACATATGTCTATAACTAGGACTTATCTCATGATTAAATGCAATGATCAAGTATAAAAAACTTGAGCTAACATTTTAAACTTACCAGCAGTATGACCCCTTTAAGGATGAGTTTAGACTCTACACCCACATTGAGGAGCTCAAGGCATAGCTTGTCAAACTTTTCAGGAGTAAGCTTATTTAGTATGCTGGGGGGAAAACACATTTTGTGTGGGTTAATTATTTTCTGAGCTGAAAAAAAAAAAAGCATTTAAATTTTGACTTTCCCTTTACTAGCTCCCTAAATAGGAGGGAAAAACTTTCCTTTTTTCTCTTCCCAGTTTATGTTTTGATAATTCCATACAGTGTATATAATTTTTTTTAAATGATACCCTTTCCTGAGCCCAACTCCTTCCCTGTCCCACTTTACATTCTCTAAGAAAAGGCCACTAAAGCCATAAATTTGTGTTACCCATTTATTCCTGAGCATAGGGTCTTACCCTGGAGTGTTGTTGTATCACTCCATGGAAGAAAATAAAATGTCCCCTCTCTTAGCAGTTCTGAACTGTGACCCCTCACACCTTTGTGCTGGAACTTTTATCTGGCTTGGAAATCTTGTACATGCTGTTACAGTGTGTTCATTTTTCACCTAACCCAAGAGATGTTAAGATATCCATCCAGACACCTGAATCTTATCTGAATGAAACCTTTCTCAAAAGTCAGAGCAAAAAGCTCTCATTATCTGGAAGTTACACACCAGACCAACATGGAACCAGCCAGCACAAGCTTATAGGTAATAAGCAAATGACTCCCGCTAACAAACACCTATGGGCAATGGACTACTCTTCAAAGGAAATACTGATGACAACAAAACTCACTAAAATATGAACCACGCCTTGTAAATTATGTAGCAACACACAGTACATCTAATCTCTACTCCCTCAGAACAGACCCTAACACTTACCCTCTTACTTTCCTGAAGATTGCATCATGTCGTTCTTTTTCATTTGCGGAGTTGTTTGCTGCGGAGTTGTCATCTCGTCTAGTGCTTCGTGCAGGAATCCATTTCTGAGCGTTTTGCCCTGGGGTTTTCCCCAGGAACTCGCTAGTTTAATAAAACATCAACAAAGTAGCTTATGATTAAGAAAGTTCCTTCATGTAACAAATGTCCTACTACCTAAAACTTTGCTGAACAGAAATATAAAAATAAAGCTTAGGTTTTTTTTTTTTTTTAAATTACCTCCCCCACCAAAAAAGCAATCCTGGAATTCTTTATTTCTCAAACGCACCAGAATTATCTGGAAAGCTTCTTAAAACAAACTGGGAGGCCCATTCCCAATTCATGCTCTAGTAGGTTTGAGGTAGTATCTGAGAATTTTCATTAATGAGTACATTCCCAGGCAATGCCAAAACTGCTGATCTAGGAACCAAACCTTGAGACTTAATGCTAAAATGCTTAACAAATGTATTCCACAAAGATCCCATTACAAATAGCAAACAAATAGTAGGGATACTCATTTTGGAATACCAGCAAATGAAACAAGGGCATCAACAATTTGAAATTATGAATTCACATCAGGATTACTGATTATTTTCCAAGAAGCATCCTGTTAGGCAAATTGACAATTTACAAATCTCACGTCTTTACAAGTTAACATACCTGTTGCCAGCAGTCTTGGGATAGTGCTGAGGTGCACCCCTACTTCCTCCTCCGCCCGAAGAAGCACTATTCAAAAGAAAATTTACTATACCAATCATGTCACACTCAAAAGGGAACCTATTTATATTTTAGAAATTGCACCACAACTGAGACTGAACTTTGGCCTAAAAAGAAAATGAACCAGAAGCTAGGGATGGCTCAGTGGTTTATGAGTGCTGGCTGCTCTTCCTGTGGACAAGGGCTCCTAACACCCACATGGCAGTTCATAACTGTCTTTAATTCCAGCCCCAGCAGGAGCTTTGACACACTGTACAGAGAAACAGACATACACGCAGGCAAAACACCCCCACCCCCAACAAAAAGCTAATCCACTTACTCTTAGAAAACAATTTTAGAACAGCACATTAAGTGCTATCTGGTAGTGGTCTTATAACTTGCCTTT